TCGGAAGAGGAATCTCGAATGGTTCCTTTACTTTGAGGGAAGCGCGCGCAAAGAGCGCGGCTGTTTTCTCGGATCGATGCGTTTCGATCGCACGCGTCGCGACGCCCGTCGTCGGCGTTTAAGTCGCAGAGGCGCTTCGCCGACGTCGCCGCTCGTTTATGTCCGTTCTCAGGCTGTGTTCGCGATCGTACGCGTAAGAGAATGTCGAGTTCGCGTTGAGGTCTCTTCCAGTTAGCTAAGAGGCTTGAGGACGCGAGCGGGATGGCGTCTGACGACGCCGAGACGCGGGAGGCGCAGGAAGCCGAGGAAGACCTGAGGATCTTCGAGACTCTCTGTATCTCCTCGCCACGGAAGGTCAATCGATGACAACGCACCCACTGCATCTTCTCTCACCTGCGACCTGTCGTTTATAATGCACGCGCGTTCACGAAAGCACACACACACACACACACACACGCACATTATTGTACGCACGCGGATCCTTCTTCGCACACGTGTAGAGTAGCGTAAAAGAGAACCTAAAATTTGCGTTACGGAGAATCAAAAATTTGTCATAAGTGGAAATTATGAAATTGCTGCTATTGTTTATTTTTGTTTTGCTAAAAAAAAGACATGTTCGCACGGATCTATGATGATGATACGCGCGAATGTTATCGCTCGGAGCTTAATTAAATCTATAAAGCATTAAGAAAGAAGAATAAAAAATGTTTACATTTTTGCCAAATAATGTCTCTATCTGTAATTTATATTGCATAAATATTTTGTCAATAATAAATCCGCACGATAATGATAAAATGTAATTAGAGCTTGCTATCATGATTACAAAATTATCCTCATATCTTCTATATAATGTAACAAGTTACATATTTGAATATGTATAACAGAATATGATACATATACATTGAATATATGCATATATGTATAACATTTGAATATTGTATATTACCATGTCTTGATTAGACATTTAAGCTTAGACAGAATTTTGCGAGCTTGGATAGAGAGTTGTAGACGTTATATATCGCGAGCTATATCACTGGCTTATCGTCCCCTCTGCCGTTGCATTATATACATATATATGCAACATGCACATACGTATTCACATGCTAATCGTACGTGCGGTCACGTGCATACCCGTATCACCCACCACAAAGGCTCTTATTGTATACATGCCAGTACGTACACGGCGTGTCCATCGAAGGGCAATAGATCGATAGCGGAAATGCTCAATATTGATCACTTTACGCGATCAACGTGATTATTTGATGGGTCATTGATTGTCAATGGATCGACTCGCCACCTTGGAATGCGGCCAGCTTTAAGCAATTTAAGCTAGTTTTGATCAAAGAAAATTTATATAAAAATCACACATAGAGATCTGAGAGAAATATGAATGTCGTGTTTCGTGATAAAAGGATTCCAGCGTTTTTTTTTTTTTTTATTTTTGCGTATATTCCGAGTTTTGCTGTGACATTTTTGCATTCTTGAAAAATGCAAGAGAGGAAAATTTTCCATTGTAATGTAGGATTTAAATTATTTAAGTCTGTCTCGTGATGTCTAAATGCGCTTTCTCCTCTTTCCGTGTAATAACATTTCATTTTTAGAATTATTCAAGTTTAATATTCCAGTCTAAAATACTACAAAACGTAGTGCGACGCTATTAAATAATTGTTATAATGATATTATTATACAATATCGATAAGGTAAAAATAGAGAAACAGTAAGTTATTTTTTAGATTGAACAATAAACGGATCACGCGATCACAGTTTGTGTCTTAAATGTCTCCGAACTCATCATTCGAGACCGTCTCTTGCCTCGTCGCGCGTTGCTGTCTAATTAGACGATTCGTGCGTCTAATTGCACGCAGGATTCCGTCACGCGCTCTCGTCATTATCGCTCCCTTTTTTCTTCATCACACCGGACTCGTGCGAATCGCGCGACCGCGTATCGACTCGCGTTGCCATAGCGTTGCACGGGAATCGATTTCACCTGTCGCTGCTACCCTAAACGACCGCACATGTTGTCGCGTGCTTTCGAAGCCGATCTTAATTTATCGAGTACGACCGTAAAGGGATTGACTTATCTTGGTCGGGTGCGCGAGGGAAAGTAAGGTTGTGCAAATTTCACTAGATCCAGGTTTTGTCGATATATCGACATTTAATTCCGCGTCCCAAGTCTTTTTCGAAATTGATTAGACATCTAGGCTTCCGGAAATGTACGTATCTTTTCCTTTTTTTTTGCTGATATAAATAATTGTCATAGATTTTAAAGATTCTCACAGATTTTGAAAACTCATTTTTTTAGCTTATTTTTTAATTTTTAATGTGTAATATTCGATGTGATTAAGAAAAATATATTTCTCATTCTGTATTGTTTATCATTTTGTCTTATTAAAAGTTTCAAACTACCCATCATTATTTTAAAATAATGCCCATAATCTTTTCTTCTGTTCTCCCCCAATTACACAGAAAATAAATCGTATATATTTTTCTTAAAACCACATATAAAAATAATTACGTAAAATAATAATAATAATTATATAATATTATTTTATATCATGATTAGAGATGGAGATAGACTATGTAATCAGATATAGGTTTTAATTTCATTGATATCCAATTATTCTGGTGCATCTAGCCCATATAATTATGACAAACAAATGGATCCGTGTATATTCTATATATCGACCATATTTGCTGGCATATTAATGTACTGGTATTACGCAGCTTTAATTACATGCAGATCCTAGTAGGCTTACGTATCAATTTCCGGCATAAATTTAGATTCCTCCTTTTGTTGTCTTTCTCTCTCTCTCTGTCCCTCTCTTTTTCTCAAATATCTCTCATAAATATCGGAGTACATGTCGTAATTTTACAAATCAAATATATTTGTCTGAGAAAAATAATCATGCATGTACATAATTAATTTAATAACCCATATTAATACGATATTATAAAAAATATAATTTCGAACAAATCCAGGATGTCACGTTTTTGTATTTTGTTATAAATATAATCTTCTTACCATATAAAAGATTTTATTTACCTATTTATATAACACAGAATATTTTCATATAAAGCATCAGCGAGAGAAGATTTACCTGCTATTTGTGTGCTTATTCTTATAAAAAAACTAATGTAGATGAATGTTTATTGCATTGACGTAAAAAAATAGGTTAATCCAATCGCTTATTGTGTTTACAATGTAAATTTCGATTACGTGTACATATAGCAGAAAGCAAAATTCAATATTGAATTCCAAAAATAAACACGTAGCTTGATCGCCATTTTTTAAAAAATACAATATATTTTAATCGCTTCAAAAAATCTTTTGATATAAAACTCGCAAAAGTTTCTGTTATATCATTTGTGCATTTGATTGAAATAATATTTCTTTCATTGCTCAATAAAATATTATTTTGTTTAACAGTATGCTCTTAAATTTAATGATAAATTTAATCTAAACATCCCGGCGACGTGTAAATCATGTAGATTTACATAAGTACAGGAAAAAATATTGCTCATTCAAGGCACGTATATTTATTTTTTATTTTCATGTATGACAACTTTTTTCGCTTTTAATGGACTGAGGAACTACATGGTGTAAGATACACGCAGTGTGTCATTTAAACTTTCAACAGAGGGGAAGGCACAATTTAAATTATTTTAACAGTGTTTCTTAAAACGCTCACGTACTCTCATTGCAATTTTATTGCGATTTTATTACGCCCGTACAAAATTTCGTGTTCGCGCTGTGTCGGCGAAATGCTGAGAGGGACCCTGATGGGGAATTTACAAATTTTTTACACGAGTACGTGCACGGGATGCCTCACGCCGGCTCTGCTGTAATCCCTTCGCTGTAAGCACAGCTCGCTTCCAAGTAAATATCAACAGTATATAGATCGCGTGTTTCCCGTCGAGATATTTATTGGAGACCGACGGAATATAATAAATATACATATATTCAAAATATCATACCGGATTTAAGCACCGTGGAAATTCGCGATATTCCACGAGACACGGAATTATGCCATTAACGACAACCACCCACGCATTGAAACTATTTTCGGGTCATGGAGAGAGAAGGAGAGATATAATAACACGAATCCCATTCGGTCTCTCGGTCGGCGACCTGTCGCGTAATTGAATCGCGAGATAATTGATGCGACGTACATATAGGATCGCGGATTCTGATTTTAATCTGATTCCCAGGAAGATAGCATACATTGAATTAAATAACTCATAAACTCGTCCAAACCAGTGATAGACTTTAATTCGTCCCCGATCAGCATACCATTGGGTAAATTCAATATCCCGTACACTTGATTTTCTTTCAATTAAAACTATATGCATATGTATATCAATCCGAAAGCTTTTTAATCAGGAAAAAATAGCGGATCTCTGTCAAAAATTAAAAAAAAAAAAATATTTCGCTCTTTTTCTCTACTTGACTGTATTATATGTCTTTATCACATCGTATGTATTTATACTTTGTACTCATCAAAATGATTCAGCTCTACAATGTGAGAACCACACATAAAGCATTATTGAGAAACACATTGCGGAGACACTAACCCTGTAAATTCGATAAGTATATTCCATTGTACCATGTTCGGTTCCACGGTGATATATTCTCGTCCCGATATCTCTGATGACGTAGATTTCGCGAGCGTAGATTTTCGCGTGCAGATATCCGAGGCCGCGGGGTTGCCTCTGGTACGAGTCGGGTCACGTAATCCGCCGTCGTAAGCGGACGAAACTTCACTATTGTAACTGCCTGTGCCGCGCGCGTATCCGATTGTCCTGGAAATTGGCGACGGTGGCAAGAGCGTCCCGCTCCTCACGAGGAATGGAAACAATATTTGCGATCGGCAACGGGACTTCGAATGCGAGAATTCCGCGTCGAGTATTCTATTCGAACTTCAAGAGCGGACTTGGAGAATACGAGGCGTTCTGGCACATAAACACCATCGTGTAGCGGAATTTCCTGCGGGAATAGATCCGATGGACAAGACCAGGTGGTTGATCATGTTTTCGAGCGAGCCTGTTAAACGGGGCGAGGCGGCGAGATTGATTTCGATTGCGAGAACAATCGCCTAGGAACAATGTATCTTCGCGGTTAATTCCTCTTCCTGCCAAAGAAATCTTGGAGTTATTAGAAGAGTCGTGTTATACATATATTTTTTACAAGAGTTTTAATTATTAGTTATAATATTAATTATTACTTTCAATTTATTCACTTTTAATTATTTCTCACTTCATGCACTGCGCGTAGAATGAGATATTCGAGTACGCTATTAAAGTGGAGCAAGCTTCTTCGTTAACTAAATGCAATTCAATCAGCTTTGAGTATTAGATGTCACGGTAGTAGAGTGAATGCATAATTAGTAAATTTCCTATGCATAAAGATACTTTCATTTACAACTTCGCACCGTGTTTATTCCATTATGATTTCGTTTCCGACTTTTGTTTGCATTCAAACGGAATAAGATAGTTATTACAAAGTTATATTACAATCCATTCCCGTGTTTGCAAACTCACAAATAAGATCAAGAGAGAAAGAGAGAAAAAAAGAGAGAGAGAAAAGTGGAAAGGGACGAATATAAAAAGATTTTTTTACACATTACTTTTTATATGTTAAAAAACTCTAATCCGCTTATGATCATAATTAACGAAATAAATTCCCGTTGAATGTGCACTTGGACTTAATTTCACGTTATGAAAATAATTCGATGGGATATATTTAATTCCACGTGGATTGCATAACGAATTAGATTTATTAAAAAGTAATTAAACGCGTCGAATGTAAATCGACATAAAAGTGAGATAAAAGCGACTCTGTATATATGACAGGTTAGATTACCGTGAAATATTTAATTAGAACGGCAATAATTATCGATATAAATATATTAGTCATATATTTATTGAATTATAATAATATTCAGATTTTTCGCTGGCATGCATCCTTTTAATTCGGCTTGATGGCGATTTAATCATCATTCTAACGCCGAATCCTAAGCCAGCGGATTCGCGTTGATTAACGTGTAAAAGACCGATAACGTCCATCGTATATTTTATTTTCTTGACAAATTGTGTATAAAAAAAATATTTTCGCCCATTTAATTGCGTGTAACGCAATCTCTTGCGTTGACGTATCGCTGTTGATTTGCTCGAGTATTGAAATATATATTCTATGTTGGAACGTGAAATACTTCCACTATTATTTTTCAATAACATTTGTTCGAATCGCCGCAGGAAATTTTATTTAATATAGTCTCTTCTTCGCAATATTATTCTTTCGAAAAATTTTGTAAAATACTGCTGCGCTTGAAAATAAAAATATTAACATAATATTAGAGAGCATGATGTAAACGATAATGATTGATCTTTAATGGTATAGGAAGATTGATATAGAAAGAATCAAACATCATTTACTTTCATTGGAAAATATTTTTAATAAGAAGAATCGATTGTTTATGGATTTATCAAAGAATTCATTCCTAAAATGTATTTTAAAATACACGATTCCAAGGATACCGTTCTAAGAATAACCTTGATGAGCCGACTTATTCACATTGTGGTCGACATTCTACGATCCGGCGCCAATTTCAGACGTACTTAATAGTCGAGGCGCAAATCGAGGCGCAAATCGCCTTGTAAGGTTTCCGTCGTGGAAGCTTAAATGGACGTCGTTACCGCTGACAGAGATCGTAGGTATATCTGTGCGGTACTCGCGAATCCTCGCGTTCTCTCTGTCAGTGTGGCAAAGGTCGGAGGTCGAAACTTCAGAAGCCGCTAATCTATTCTCGGCTTTTAAACGAGCGCGTCGGCATTAAGCCTTCTCTCGGATAGAGAGAAGTTCGGGAAATAAAATCGCCTTCTTTACGACGAGTCTTTTCCCGCCTGCAGCGAAACCCAACGGGAGTCCCGTATACAACCCGGCGCGGTACACACGATGAGATTGATAATTTATAACAATTGTCACTTCAACTCTCTTGTTTGCAAGAGATGTAACTACACTGAGAGATTCGTTAAAGCATGAAAACAACTGTAATGAGTCAGCAAACATGTCTATCATCAACCGACGCGTTTTCACGTAGCTTATTTATTGTTAGTCATTAAACATTCGATGTTAATCCCGATGCAAAGATAATCACAATTTGATATCTCTCGCTGTAAATGAATACTTGGCGCGAGATACTACTGTGTCTCTTGATAACAATGTAAAATATTTTTATCTTATTGCTCTGTTTTGAAAACGAGGCAACTGAATGCCTGGTTTCAGGCGGATCCAGACGAAGCTATGACTCACGATCTGACGACTACTTTGAGGAGCGAGCTAGCAGCTCTCGAGTACAAGCGGGATAGGCTTATGTCCGAGGTAAACTAGATTATCCGTTCTTTACTTCGGAAATTAGGGATTAATTCAACGCCTCGGCGCTTGTTTAGCTGCAAGAGATGAAGAGCATCGTGAGATCGCGGGACCAGAGGGTCGTGGAGCTGCAGGTGGAGGCCGATCAGCTTCGCGAACAGGCAGCCAGGCAAAATTCTGTCATTTCCAGTCTCAAGAAACGTATTCAGGTTCATTTATTTTTGTAATAAGCGAACGATTAAAGAGTTCTTTCGTTAAACATCGAGATAATTTTTTTTCTTCCTTTTTGTTTGTCTGAGTTTTGTCAAGAAAATTTCGACGACGAATTTATAGAATTCGTAGTCGATAGATAGTAGATTCGCGACACGTTTCGCAAAATTCAATAACAATTTTAGGAACTTGAAGAGAGAGAGAGGAACCTGTACGCGTCCCACGGCAGGAGTGAGATCACGATACAAGGTCTGCAACGTGACGTAAAGTATCACGAGGAAAAGGTCAGAGAGTACGACAAGAAAATTCGACAATTGGAGCATAACATATCCGAGGAGATTCAATTGAAAGAGCGAGCGCGTCTGAATCTGCAGGTGCCATATACTATTTCAATACACGCTCGATCGCGCATTCACGTGCTATCGACATATCCATTTATACTATTTTCACTGAAAAAATCTCATCAATCTTTTCTTTCCTCCAGCATTAAAATCGCATTTTCGATATTCTGCTTTGATAGGATTTTGTACGAAGGTTGGCACACGCGTTGAACGTCGAATACTGCGAGACGGCGCATCACAGTCCGGAGATGGTGATTCACAAGGCCGAGGAGCTCGTGCAAGAGGTGAATCGGCTGCGAACGAAAAGCACGAACGTGGAAACGCAGTTGACGGGCGTCGAGGTAGATTTCAGAACCTGCAGAGACGCTCTTGATCGTGCGACTACGGAAAAGGAACAGTTACAGAGACAGGTAGCCGTCCAGCTGGTCGACATAGATCGTCTACGTCAGGTATGATGATGAAAATTTTATCTACATCAATATCGAATTTATAAAAACAATTCTCTTATATTTTATTGAAGTTTATCATATGTATATTTAAAGTAAATGTTACTGTTAGAAGCATTAAAGTGTGCATGATTTCAGCTATTATCCTAATTATTTAAAGCATCAATATCTAATTAAATAAAAAAACTGTTATATTATTAATTATTTACCGATATATCAGGAGAAGGAGTGCGTGGAAATGCAATATAGGGTCGCGGAGAAGGACATGAACGATCTGAGGGACAAACTCGTGAACGCGAATAGAAGCTTAACCAGCGCTACGGGGAATATATCCAATCAAGAGGCGCTTATCTGCCAATTACGAGGTAAACGACGACGATCGGTTAATTCTCGTGACCTTTGATAATTTGTGCCGCTCTTGCAGAGGATCTGAAGGCCCGCGAAGAGAAGACGCAACGCGTGCAAAATGATTTGCGTCATCTCCTAGAGTCCTTGGCGATTCTAGTCAGTACACCTAATCGATTCGTCGAGTCTCACGAAAACGCGATCAAGGATCGCATCCGAGAGATCCTGGCGGACAACAAGGATCAGTCGATAGTAACTCATTGTGCACTTTGACATCGTTACTCTTAAGCCGAAATCATATATGCGCAATTCTTGAGAATGCTTGAGAAAAAATAAATTTCTCAAATGTAAATTATTTTCTTTGCTTTAAAATTCTCGTTTTAATGGCTTCTAAATTTTTCAATTGTCGAGAATCTCATAAAAATATTGAAACATTTAAGAAATTCGCATATTTTTGGTCTTGGCATGCGGAGGACGATTTTAATCGGCGCGATATTGATATTCATAACGTCACGAGCGCGTTTTCTTTTCGTAGAAAATGCAAAATCTTCGGGAAAAGGTGAACGTCGCGACGGAATCGGCTAATCGACAGAGCGAATTAGTTGAATCCACAATGATGAAGGTGCGCAGTCTGGAGGATGAACGCGCCGCTCTGGAAACAAAGATACACAAGTTGGAATCCGAACTTACGAGTTGCGAGCTCTCCAGAGAGTCTTTACGCAGAGACAAGCAAACGGTGATTTCAAATGTTTCTATATCTCCAAAACAGTCTTGACACGTAGCGTAGGAAAACGTAGAGTTGAAAGATATTATACAATTAACAATGTTTGATTTCTTTTAAATTAAGTAAAAATTAAATCTCTACTTATAAAGAAATAATCTTTAATTAAAATAATATTAAAAAAAATTAGAGTGCAAAATATTATTTATATATTAATTCCAGATGCAATATATAACGTTTTATTATTCATTTTCCATAAATTTAAATTGTTAATATATACCATAAATTTTTCCAGTTTATGGTCTTCTTGGATCGACTGGGCAAAGCGATGCAGATGGACGAAATTTCTCAAGAAGTCGGGCTCGATCTTCTAACCGAGTCGCTGTTAGTGCGGGCCGAGCAACTAGCCAGATTGGAAACCGACAAACTGGTCGACAAGGTGAAGGGCACGATCGATATTATTACGTCTTTCCGATGCCTCTGTCACATTGCTAACGTCTTCTCCTTTGTTCTGTGTTTCTTTGTCGTGCAAATCGTGTGCTTACCGCACGTCCGCAGTATTTGTGCTCCAGCTATACGACCCTACCGAGGATTCGGCGCGAGCGATCGTTCCACGAGCTTCCTTGTCTCAAAGAAGTAAGCCCTCGGCGCGAGCAAAGCGTCTTAGAGAGAAGCTTCACAGTATTCTCAGACATCCTCTTCGTAGACGTTCATTTCGTTCCTCCGTGAAGTATCTTTAACGTAGAAAGGGAGAGAGAGAGAGAGGTGCTTTTCTCATTCCTCCGTCCCCGTAGGTTTCCCGATATACTCTGCGACTGAATTGGATGCTGGTCGAGGCTTTGCTTGTGCGACGCGTAATTGTTGCTTCAAATTGACAGTTTATCGCTTAATGAAGTTCCATTTAATAAAGCTGCCCGCGGCGCGTCGATATTGCGATCGCTCTTTTCAATGTAAAACACACAGGACGCTTGCATCAACTTTTAATTAAATAATTTCCGATAACATGTTGATATAGAAAAATCTTTTCTCTTTGAAAGATTCTCTTTCCTCATTTTATGAAAATTTATTTTCTGATACACTTGCATTTAATTATATTGTATTTGAGCAATCATATATATCACATATAAAAAATTTCACGACAATATTATTTCGTTTCATGCGTTACGTCTATGTTTATGTTTATCCTTCATCAAGTAATATCTCTCCAACGCAAATCGATGATTGCACGAGAAAATTTGAACTCGGCACTTTTGCGTTCTGTATATTTGCACATTGTGTCACATCTGGAAAATGATGGCGTCGTCGAGTAGGACGCATTTGACAAATGTAAATTTTTCTTTTTCTTTATCTCATGCAGACTTCCGTAGTTTATCAGTTGCAACGTCGGGTCCGAACTCTACGGGAGCAATTGCAACGCAGGGACTTGCATCTGGACCTTCTACGTAGAAAACTATCTCTGCAAGAGGATAGCGTGAGGATGAAATCACTGTTGCAGAGCGAACGCGACGAGGCCAACATACGGTTTGTTTTAGAATAGCCCGGGGCCGATTTTAACAATTTTGCCAAAATTCTGAACTTCTTTACATCTATATCGTAGCTCAAATAATTTGCAGAAACTATTATTTGCGCAGAATTTAATCACGCTTTCGGTTGCATACAGCGTGCAAATAATTTGAATAATCGCGAGAAACTCGGAGATAAAGTTCGTAAAAACTATTAATTTGTCTTCCGTATAGTAATTAGAAATTGAAACTATCATCACGATGTGTTGTAACAATTAATCCGTTACAATTGACCCAAATTTTCCATCTATCTATCGGATGCGACACGTTAGCGGGGAAATAATGCCTATCGACTGGCTGTCCAATGAGAGAAATATGGAGCTGCGGTTTATTGGAAAATTTAACCGGTCCCGAGTGTGCGGCTTTACGTATTCGAAATGCTGTGTAATTTTTCCGCGCCGATGGTTACCCATAATTCCTGTTGGCGGTTCGCGGTTTACTCCAAATGCGTCGAATGCATTTTACTATACGTTCGTCGTCTGAACGTTAGACCGTCGGAGGCATCATTTTTCTCGATGCGCGAACGGATCGAAAAAAAAAAAACAAAAGAAAAAAAAGAAACAAAAAATGAAATGAAGAAAAAGTGCGAATGGGTTTTCTTCCTCTCTCTTTCAGCGCGAAGAAGTTGACGAAACAGGTCGAGCGATTGCAGGTCCAATTGTCGGAGGAAAAATCGCGGAATCGAGAGTTGAGCGCACAATTGACGGATGCCGCAGATTATAAGGCACGTAATTTTCGAGAGTCCGTACTTTCTTACAATCAGATAAATCCGAATATGTATTTCGCGGAATACGGCACGGAATTTTGTCGCGACTGCATGATTAATGATAATTGTAAGAACAATACGCTGCCTGCATTTGCGACATATACCGTAGTTTCTCTTTTTATTATTTCGTGAAATTTTATTTCTATTAGTAAAATAAATACATTTAATAAATAATAATTATATGTGATAATAATAAAATAACTTTATATTAAGTGTATATAAATAAAAGAATGTTATAAAATATGCGGAAGATATATATTTAATTTTTCTTATATAATAATTTAATTTATATATAATATATACAATATATTTTTAATTATTCTATTAAATCAGTTTTATATACTCATGAACATCACGAAGCGACGTATATCGGGAAAACAAAATTCCTGAGTGAATTCTGGTCGCGCGAGAATACCTCGTAATCTTTCACCTATCCATCAGGCATTTTAACCCACTTTATGACATTTTCCGCGAGCAGATAGCTGCGCTGGAACGCAGCCGTAAGATAGAGGAGCTCCAGAAGCGTCTCGTCGAGAGCGAGATGTTGAGGACGCGTTATAACAGAAAGTTGACGATGATGAAGGAGCAGATGAGGACGACCGCGGAGACAGCCGATCAGGAAAGATCGATAAACGATCATTCCCTGCAGCTTCTCCGCGACGAGCTCGCTCAGGTCAAGCAAAATCTCGCCGAGGTCACGAGGAGAGAAACCCAGGTGAGACACATTATAGCTTTCGTTTGATTTGCGTGCGTTATTTAATTTCGCTTCACGTTTATATGTTTGTATTGCCATTTCGCGTTTCAACATAAAACGAAATGAAATAAAATAAATTTGTTAGTGGAAACACACGAATGCTGAATGAATTGACGATTAACAGGGAATCGTACGTCTTGCGTCCCGAAAAATGCACAAGGCGGCGAAACGCGTGTCTCAATGCCGAATCGTGTATTCGGCACGCGCATTGGTGTATTCTCGTAATTCTGATTTATGATTATTCTCGAGAACGAACGCGAATTGAAATGCATGCATAAAAGAAGTCGCTGTAAAAACGACGATAGAGCTACGTTGCAAAGAGGTCGCAAATAGCCTCGATGCATTACACATACGTATCTTTCTCTATTTTTCATACATAAATTATTTTTAAATAATATACGGTTTTTCTCTCGGAGAAGGAAAAGTTTTCTCTTATAATCCTTTACGAAAACACCAAACAAAATTAATTATGGTGGAAATCCGTATTTTATATCCCCTGCGCAAAAGTTATTCTGCCGTTCCTAGCCATAATCCACAGATCCCCCGTCGCGAGTTCAAAACACTTTGATCTCTTATTAAAGCACGTCTGCAAGCGCACTGAGCTTATTGCTAATACTCCGCAGAGGTACAGGCCAAAGGGGCTCGTTAATTCATTGTGACAATCTCAATGACTCGCGCGGTGGCAGCCATTCGCGTGATTGCGATCTCTCTCTCGTCGGGCGCATAACGCTCGTTCAGGACGATTTGAAGCGACTTTGCATCACCGTAATTCGAGACACGTTCGCGCGTCGTCGCCGGCCTGTAAAGCAGATAGTCCCTTCGATTTAAGCTCGTGCTCCGTGAAAGGACTGTGAATCTTGCATATAACATCATGAAACTTTATCCCGACGTCGCTGTCGTAACTTCGCTTTCTGAAACGTGGAACTTTAATTCGCGAAACTTGAATTTAGAGGGATAGAACATGGTAACATTAATTACAATAAATTACGAGTAAGATAGTTTGAGTGTCTTATTGTTAGCTATAATATTGCACTTTTATTGCATTCGTCACATCTGTTCATAAAATGAACACTGAGATGTAAAAAAAAATTATAAATAGAGAAAGAAAAAAATATTGTTATTCAATCGGAAAAGATTCTGTAAGCACAACATATCTACTCTTTATACCAAGTATTTCCTTATATTAGAAAAAAATATTTATATAAAAAAATGATGTTTTGTCAATCAAAATGTATGTTTCATTATTTATGTATATGCGGAAATAATTATTTGGACTCGCAAAATGTGTGGCGGATAGAAAAGTTAACACTAGGGCGAGGAAGATACGATTCAATTCGCAAATCGTTCATTTCCTGTCTCAGCTCCAGAGCTTCCGTGTCTCCGTGGCAAAGCTATTGTCGGAGCCAATCTGCACATCCGATTACGAGATCATTTCGCGGCTGCAGAAAATGGTCGCGGCTCATCGCGACTTTACGATGCTTTCCCGCAGATATGACGAGCCTTTGGAAACAAGTCCCTCGAGGTGCACCAGGTAATAAATAATTGAAAAATAATTGAAAAATAAGAATGCGCGATATTAATTCATGTCGTATTTTCTACAATTTAAATTTTTTCTAAAATCTGTCAATATCGATAATGGACGTTGTTGCACAAAATTATCTCACATTTCTAAGAAACATTGGCAAAGCTTAGAACTAACAGCAGCAATTCTTATAAATTTATGATACGCTATTTTTGAAAAAAAAAAAAAAATTAGACATCTTTTAATGAACAGATATACAAATGTTGATGAAAGACTTTGCAATTGCAAAAATAATTTTCTGTATTCTTTTATATTCTAAGCCCGCAAGAACTCGCATTATTCTGATATTACATATCTTTCTAAATCATTATAGCATTCATCCGGTCCATATGCCGAGATCGCCCGGAGGTTCACGCTGCACCCGTTACGAGGACAGCGGTTTTGCGGACCCACCGGATCTCCACGACATCGACGATGATTACAACAAGAGGCCAGTGAGGAGCAGCCTTCTTCCGTGACACCGGCCAAGGTTCAAGTTTTAAGTGTTCCTGGGGCGAGGAGATTAAACGATCACGCGTCTAATCCACCTCCTCGGAAATTCGAGTTTCCGGATCTCGGAGCCGTAGCTTGAACGATGCTGCGGGGAATAACTTTGCACGTGCGTCGTAAAGCGTTACGTTTACCTCGTGTAAACGATCGACTTTTACGAGACGAGATGAAGAGGACCATTTGCTCTTATTTTTCTATTCGCGACCATCGTTGCCTTACAAATTAGACAACGGGCACGCCATAAGATCGCTCGCACGTCGGTCGAGCGATCGAATAGCTCGCCCCGACACCGTTTTCGATGAAATAAGCATGAAGGAATATCGAACCACCGATCCGTGCTATTACGAGGGAATGGAAGAGGAAATCGATCCGACGCGTTCTCGTGAAATCGCAATTTTACGCTAATTATTTAGCAAGCGTGAGAAATTCCTAACGGATCACATGGAAGTGCGATACTGGACGTCGTAAAGCATCAGCTGTCGTGAACGAAAACCAGTCAAAAGTGTGTTCAGCGAAAATTACGCGTCCGTAAAGTTTAAGATAATTTATTTCGGAAATATTTACAAGCCGACCGCGCGTGGTGCAGACTTTGATTTATATGTGAATAAAATACCTATTATACGCTATATATACATATATACATTGCTCTTCTAAAAAAGACCGCCTGGATGTGCCACTTGAAGCAAACAACAGAGTTATTAATATGCATCAAGAATAAAACTGTATCGAGTAAAAATAATCAAACATGCGGAACATGTGCAGATGACGTCATGTGAAATATAGAAAAATTTTAATTTGTAAGAAAGCCAATGAAAAATTGTGCACAAAGATTTGGAATATAAATTAAAGACTGAATAATAGAATTTAATTCTGTGGCATTACATATACTCAATTTTGTTTGCACTTATTCCATAGAATATTCATATAAAAATGTATCTGTCTACGTTTTAACAAAGACTTAAGAGAATGTTTTTATATAAAACTTTTTTTATAAAAATTAAAATGGTCGTGTAATATTTAATTTATATGTAATTTTTATTTAATTTTTAATTTTTATATTTTCAATATTTTCAATGAGAAAAGAAATCCTAATTTTATCTAAATTAATTTAGTTTACAATTGTTTTATTAATTATGTATGAATAGTTTTCTTGGAAAACAATCTGAAAAAATTTTAAGGTCAATGAGTTTTTAATATCATTAAATTTAATGGTGAGACTTTAAGTATATTCTTATAAGAGATATATCAAAGTATTGAAGTAGGAGAGAGAGTCTGAGGGAGAGAGAGGTAGTCACTTATGTTCACATGGATGACCCTTTAACCTCGATATTATCTCTACCCCGTTTAACGCAGTACACTCTTTTCTAATCAATTCGAAACAATGCGAAGGGCGTACAAGCGACGCTCGCACGATTCGTGCGAACCGGTTCACGGTCCGATGAGCGGAGTTCCAGGCGTTCTGGGACCCATTTAAATACCATGACGTTGTAGCTACTTTACAGAGTAATCACGTAACGTGGGTTCCGATATCAATAATCTCTCGATCGATGACCTGGCCCCAGCTTAAGTATCCGTATTCCAGCGCTCTATTAATTGGCTTCATGATAATTATTGTACATCGAGTGTCGAAATAACGAATTCCTGTTCGCGGTTCCAGCAAAGGGATCGCGAGCGCGCCTCCTCGTTATGTGTGCTCGTCATTATTGGAAGCCTCACTTCCGGCGACATGGTTTCAATTTCCATGCCCGCCGCACTCGTCAATCGATGCCCAAAAGTGACGAGCAGGTGGATGACAGGGTAACGGTATACCTTCGATGTAACGTCGATCGATTCTCTATCGATCGATGATCGAACCTATGATATCATAACTGTCTGATCGGCTCGTAATCCTTCAATCGGTGAGAACAAAGTTACAATGACGCTGAATTGCGATATAAATAATTATAATCTTATCAATTCCCGTGAATTCAATACTTTCTCCATGTGAACAAAAACTTGCTTACGTCACGATAATAATGATATTTACGTGACTCTCTCTCAGTTCGATTATAGTATTTTTTTTCATTCTTTATAGATTATTTTTAAAATGTCTTTATATAAACCATTTTTTTATTTATATTTATAAGATTATTTATTTACCATTTTTTTCAAAAAAAGATTACGCGCAATCACAGATGGTAGTCTTCGACGAGCGATATCGTGCCTTGATAACGAGCAGCACAATCGTAGAGCAACTCCGTAATATGTGCAACAGAATGCAAGAATCCTGCCGCAGCGTGCACTCGCCAGGAGTCACGAGTCGAGAAGTCCAAGTGCCCGGGAATGAACGGGCGAGGGCAGGAGAGAAGGGATATCAGGTCGTACAAGAATCCCTTCGGGGCTCGAATCCTCTCCACGCAAGCGCGCAACCTGGCCGCTCCGGTTTCGCGAAATTCCTCGCGAAAAGATCGATGCATCTTTCGGCATCCATGACCGATATTTTATTCCGGTCGGATTTACCATCCCGACATCCCATTTTGACAGCTCTATCAATAGTTGAATAATCTTCTGTCAACTCTCTAATTCTCTTCCAGCTTTTTTTTTTTAATTTCTTTAGAGTTCTTCCGTTCTTTCATAAATCGTTTCGCATCTGTGAGATTATTCCTTCGAAGATGATATTCTTGCTCATACACTCGGGAAACTCTCGTGCAATAATCCGAGGGATTAACATGTCTTTGCCCATGAATGATCCCGAGCATAACGATAGAGCGCATTCAGCTCACGCGGTCTGGGTCAATATGGGGTCTAGAATCATGTCGGCAGTAGCTCGAAAGAGAGAGAGAGAACCGCAAGTAATGATCCTTCCTTTCACGCAAAGTGGAACTCGCATAGGAAGCCGCTTTAAATAATACTCGTCGTTACTGGCACATGGACAATCGGGTAATATTACTGTGCAAAAAAGCACATGATGCGGCGATAATGTAAAACTGCGGTCTCTCTTTCTCTCTCTCTCTGTCTGCCTCTATCTGTCTCCAATGTATGAAGGTTACGATGGAAATCATTCTCTCACAAAGAGAGAAATCGCTCGAAACGATATCCTCGAGGCAACAAGAAGTTCACGCTGCTTCTAGACAATGCGTTTTCTTAAATTTGCTTGCTAAATCCGTTACAAAATCTAGCCCTCGTAATCCTCACCAAAATTCGTACATCTTGGTCTCTAGTTACTTTTTATATTACATTATTTTCACAGCACGTTAAAATACGATAGCTTACGTAGAAATGCTTTAACTGTTGCAAAATCGCGATTTTCGCCGATCGAATAACAATGAAGAATGCGTAATCGTAAAATGACATAATTCTTGCGACGTAAAAGTCGAGCTTCGATAAAGGAATAAATGGATTAGAGCTCGCAGACCGTTATTTTCACCACTTTCTCGCGCTCATCGTTCACTCCCCCATTCCGTAATGTCGCCAACGACATAATTTCACGCGAGGTAACGTAAGGAGCCATTACGAGATTTACAAGCGGTTTAATCCATTACGTGAACCGACTGGGCTGGCGGATTCGAGTTCTGTTTCATCGCTGCGGAGATTTTCGCGAACGGTTCCCCATCCCGACGTCGAGATTAATCGCTCGTCGTTTAACGCGGCACTCTTTAATTAGTCAATCGAGCCAAATAGAATCCACGACCCTGTTATTACATCCTTTCGTGGCAACTGTTCGGCTTCTCCGCGTCGAGCACGCGTTTCCGCCTTCTCCGCGTGTTTACGCGCTCGATCTGGACGAGCAAACAAAGCGATCCACAGTTATAACGAGAAAAAAAATTTTATATGAAATAATTATTGTATACCTAATCGAATAGATAAATTCATAATAATGGTACCACCATTATGTGCAATCAAGAATCGAAATATTTGCACTAGCTGCGAGTCGAGGATGTGCTTGAGAAATTTTTTGGCAAACGATAGACGCATCAGATGATTCTTAAATTCAAAGTATATTGTAAGGATTTCAAGAGTCGGCGGCAATTGAATCGCAGCCATTTCTCTGATAGAAGGATATAGCTACTATAACGACATAGCTCTCCCTCTCGACGTCGACTTTAACGCGCACGCATTTGCGTATCGCGCTTTCTCGCGCGAATACAACCGTGAAATTTCCGGTAACATCGGAAATTCAATCACGTCTCACCTTGCGCGAGATTTTATTGGCTATTATTAGCTATCTACAACTCGTTCTCCAAACATTCTTGAGTTAGCGTTTAGAGCAATCAGCTGATGCGTTTCTCAAATTGAAAGCTGTTTTCTCTGCGCCCGTTTACAAAAGAAGAAGAAGAAGAAGAAGAAGAAAAAAAGAAAGAGAGAAAGAGAAATCATGAATCTACTATAAAACGCATTTTGCAAGTGCAGCGATGACTAGTCGCACAAGACAGATTGACGGTACCGTTTCCGAGAGATTCTTTTCTAACTATCCGTTGTGCTAAGGATAGCTCACGGAACTGGGAAACGTATACAATTTACCGGAAATGTGCATATATAAGAGCGGTAAAAGTAGGTTTCAATTGTCGGTGGAAATACATGTCATTCTACGTTTTTCAGTAGTCTCCACATTGCATCTCAGAATCGGCCTGTTTATATAAATCCCAGCTGCAACTTAACTGGAAAAGAAAATACGCCCTGCAGAAAATACACATTCGAGATTTATTTTATCAAGTCCTGCCATGTTCAATGATAATTAATTCTTAATATCTCAACAGGTCGTTTTTTAACTTGAATTTCCGTTAATTTATGATTGAAATATGTATTCCATTCTAGCACATCGTGATTTGTACGTATTTTCACGTTTGTATTTTGACAATATATATAGCTTAAAAAGAACAAACACATTTAATTAAATCACGGCTGACATTGTGACGTGAAGGTTTTGATTCTTTCTTAACTCATTCCCAAGAATATAGATAGAAGGTCCAGCCTTACGTTTAAGATCGCCACAGAGGATCACCAGGCATTCTCATGCTCAGGTTCAGGGCTAACAAGATCCCATCCCGTCTCGCTTGCTCGCGCGACAGATGCTTCTTGCAACCTTCTCAGCCTTATGTTGGTTCTCCCACCATTTTCTCACAAGCTCGACCGGCCACCCTTTACTTCATCGCGTTTTATTTTTAGCGGTCCAGTCCGGCCGTTATTTATTTATTCTTGTTTTAGTCCTCTACAACTCTGGCAAACTCTGGTTTCTTAGCGTGTTCGTCCTTTTTTCTTCGCATTGTCTTAAGCGTTTTTATGCTAGAATAATAATTATAATTATTATTAGAACTTGAATGTTTTGTTGCAACTGGTAACACACTAATGGCTGATAACACACGTACAAAAAAAGAAATATACAGGGTGTCCCCAATTTAAATGTCAAAACTTTAGGAGCGTGTAGGGGACTCAGTTGTAATCCTTGGGTTTCTTTCCACTAAGGCATGCACAATGTTATCATCAATGCCAGAAGGCCGTCCAGAGCGGGGTTGATCCTCCATGTTGAAATCACCATTTCGAAATCTGCCAAACCACTTTTTGACTGTTCGGAGAGCAGGAGCGCGGTCTAAATAAACGGTTTGAATATTTTTTTGTGCAGTCCCAACACTCACGCCTTTCCGAAATTCATGTAACATTACATGCCGCAAATGCACCTTTTCGTTCTCCATTTTTAATGATTTCTCTTATGCACAAATGGACTTATCTGAACAATGTCTGACGCTAAATTGACATAAGACAACGTCATCTATTCGGTGTAAGCAACAATTACCACACGAAAACAATAGAACTCCGCCATGCAGTAACTTAATGCCATCTATGAAAATCGGGCACGAACTTATGCAATCATCCAATACAATCCTCTAATTTTACCTCATTTTTTACCATACAATTTTAATTATCAATATTAAAAACATTTTTCATATAAAAAATACATGTTTTCTGTGTAAACTAGCATTTAGAGATCAAAATCATTTATAAAAGTTGATTTTTTTACTTTTTAATCTACAATATTATTTTAATACAATTTTTATATACTCTGCAGTATAAATTTTCAAATTCAAAATATCGTTACCTTCAATAATCGCATAATTATTCGATGAAAAAGAGACAATGTTGTAACAAGGCATACATTGAGATAAGTATCCAGGTTAAAAGAACTTTTTAAGTCGCAAGTATTTTTTATAATTCATCTGATTATGGTTGTATAAATTAGAACATCACTAAAGATCTGGCAAACAAGTTTCTTTGTGTTTACCTATAAGTATATAGTTTTGAGTAATTGCACAAATATTGTTTAGGTCTTAAAATCTCAGAAATATAAAAATAAACATTTTTCAAATTAGATTATATTTATGGTACATCAGTTATAACTTTACGTTTGTTTATAATATCTTGATCATAACTTTTGTTGTATAAATTATGATATCACGAAGACATGATACAAGACATAGTATAAATATTTTTTATTTTTCATAATCCTTCAGCAATAAAGATGGCATATGTATGTATGTATCTCTCTATACAATAAATCCTAACAAATGTCAAAAAATGTTAAGAGCAAATTTCTTATGTTATATATAAAACAATTCTATGAAAGACGCTGTTATAGAGAATTACGCTGTAAATGTAAGATAAAATATCTTTTTTAATAGCACAAAATATAAAATTATACAAAGCTGACAATTAAAAGTTATTTATTTTATTGTATATTAACAAAATATCTCTCTTTTCTTAATTCCACGCTCTACAATTTTTATCTCACGGTGCTTTTTAATAAATCTAATTTTATTGTTGTTTTATGTTTATTGGTGAAGACTTTTGTTTCTTTTTTGCGATTTTTTACAAAATTCAAATTTAACTTCCTATATTAAATAAAAAATACTTTTTGCATGATTTCTTATACGTGACTATACGCAAGGAATTACATTATTCAAATAACACTAAAACCATCGTGTTTATTTCTTCTAAGCAATTTTATATTCAATGATAAGCACTACTTTATCTTGAGTTTTAAAAAGTGATGTTTAAATAAAATTTAATAGTCTCAATAAACCAGAACATTTTGGATTAGATAATATTTATAATGTCTAAATCACGATTTTTTTGTATATAAATTGAGGCACTATGAAGATGTGATATCAGAATTCAAAAGTTTAGAATTGAATCTTTGTAAGTTTGCAGCGATGAATACAAAAGCATTTCTATTTTTGTTAGTTGCCGTTTTTACGGTTGCCTTGATTTCCGATGTTATGGCTGATCCATCAGCTGAAGCAAACCCTGCTTTGCTCTCACGATCTAAGGTATAAAACTACTATCTAACATACAATTTTGTTTTTTTTTTATATTTGTTAATATTTATATTTGTACATTTAATTATTGATGATTAATATATGTATAAATAATTTGTCTTTGCAAATAAGTATTACTCTTCTACGTACATATATGCTTTCATAATATCATAAAACAAATAGTATTACGATCTTTGACGTTTTGGTTATAAATTATATATACTAATATACAACTATATTGTATGTATATAAAAAAAGTAATTTGTAGAAAAACTATAAAATGCTAATAATAAGTTTTTTATTTACCAGGTCCGTTCGGAAATTAATCTCCAGTAGGCTTGCCAAATAAAACAAGAAACTAGAAAAACATTTTATTATATAAAAGTTACTTACATATATGTATACACTAATTTTTGATAAAATCGCCATTCTAATTGAGGTACTTGTCGTAGCGCGACACAAGCTTTTGTATACCATTATCAAAGTATAGTGCCGCCAAACTAAAATCTCAGCTAACTCCTAGCATTGCTTATCAACTTCTTGTTATCCTCGAATTGCTATGTTCCTAGTCACATTTTCATGTATGTGATCGAATGAAAGTCACTCGATGCAAGATCCAAGAGTCTAAGATAGTCGAAAAACTCTCATCGGAATTTCTAGAGCAGTGTAATGGGAATTCGATCACCCACTCTACAGCCCGGATCTTGCATCAAGTAATTCTCATCTATTCACACGCATTAAAGTGTGACTAAGGAACGCATCAATTCGGAAGCAACAAGGAGCAGTGCTAAGAGTTGACTGAGATTCCAGTTTGACGGCATCATATTTTGACAAGAGGATATAAAAGCTTATGCCACGCTATGATAAAGGTCTCAATTTGAATGGCAATTATGTCGAAAAATAGTGAATATGTATAAGTAACTTTTGGGTATAATAAAATGTTTTTCCTGTTTCTTGTTTTATTTTGCAAGCCTACCATATGTTGATTTCTGAATAGCCTTTGTACTTATAAGAGATTTCTCACATAAAAATTAGTTTGTAAGCAGTGTGTCAGTAATGAGATACTGATATATAATCGCAATGTCTATACTATATTTAAATATATGTAAACAGACAAAGTAAAAAATGAAACTTTATTTATTTTCTTGCATTTCAGAGGGATCTTTTACAGGATATTATTAATTACATTCTTTCTTTAATTCCTGTTCCGATAAAAGAAGCCATTTTGGAAGAAATAGAAAATATAAAGGGCTTTATGTCATTATTATTTTGAACTAAAATGCACTTAAGATAAGCTATGGTATAAAAAGATTGTGCTTAAATGATTGTGGCATAATATAATGGTAATATTATCTATGGTATTATAAAAAACACAAAGATGTTTTTGATGTAAAAATTGAATGTAAAATAAATAAATAATATGCAATTATGTTTATATGTTATTACTATATATAAATACAACAAATTAAAATGTAAACACTCTAAAGACTCGAATATATACGAAGATGATAAAAAATGTTTTACGGGCGATAGGGAACCGACGCAGTAAACAGAACGCAATAAATTAAATTGTCAAAAAATTCGTTTATTATCAAATTGTACGTTTCGGTCTCGGTTTAGACCATCTTTAGTTTGTTAATAATTAAATTAGATCAAACGCGCATCGTAACCTTCACGCGATTCACAGGACTCCACAGCATGTCCGGCCCGGAGAGCCTCATCAACAGTTCCAGCTAGTCCGAAACGCACGTACGCATTATGTAACCGCGAGCCACGAGAGATCGAGATCGCAACCATAATATATATGAATCCTACATACAGTCTTTGCTGTTCGTCAATCACTGAATTTATTATATATATTTTATATATTTATTAATAAGCTGAAGATGGTCTAAACCGAGACCAAAATGTACAATTTTATAATAAACGAATTTTTTTGACAATTTAATCCTTTGCGTTCTATTTATTGCGCCGGCTCCCTATCGCCCATTAAAACATTTTTTATCATTTTTTTCCTATATATAAAACTATTTTGTATTAATTAACTATCCGTGCTATGCAAATATGTTTTGTTGGTATGATTGATATTATTGTTTTGTCATTAAGTAATCGCAAAATTTAATTTAGAATATTATTTATGACCTAAACCATTATTTAGATATTAATAATATTAACTTAGTAAATCACAACTGTACTTCGCAAAAATGAAAAATTATTAGTCTTATTTACGTTGTAAAAAAAGAGTTTTAATTTAGCATTAGATTATAATGATACTTTACAATAAAACATGGTAGATTGTGTGAATATATGCTATTATTTATACCAATTTATTAAAGCGTCGTAAAAACTTCATGTCACTAGCAGATAGAACAGGTAATCGTATTAGCACTTGTCTTTTATCGTTAAACAATTAATTATGAACAATTTGCGAAAACGATCACGGATGGTTTTTTTGCACAGATCGCAATTGAATAAAAGTAGCGAAGCAATACACAAGCGGAATGATAATTCATAACTTAATGAAAGGTCGACTCTCGTTCTAAAATTGAACCATCACAATGTCATTCAATGCGCAGTTTTTCAAACAGTCAAATCAAATATTTCAGAATTTATGTATAATTAAATTATATTGCGCGTTACCAGATATAAGTAACACAACTTATCAATAAAAATGTTATATTTTTATTTAAAAACATAATTTAAATTATGTATAATTTTAATTCAAAAACATATTAACTTAAATAATATATATTTACATTTTGCTAATCGATTAGATAGATCTACCCAATCTATCTTTTATGAGTCATTACTGAATGACCGAGATGAGTATATCTACCTTTTTGTGCTATATAAGTGCTCAATATAAGCGTGTTAAACATCAATAATGCTGTAAATGGATATTTAAAACAAGAAATAACACTGACAGACATTTATTTTGAAAATTCATTTGTCGAAGATACACTATACATAAATTCACATATATAATATATGTATTAATACGGACTTTTTAGTCTTTTTCAATCAAATCTTGATGACTTGAACATAAAGTTGATTGCTTCGAGCGTTGTCATATCATTAAAAAGTACTAAAATATGTAAGCTTTTATAATTATACCAGTAAATACCGATAATCTTATTTGTCATTTTCATATAATATTTTCATAGAAAAGCCAAATATAAATTAAATTTATAATAAATTTTATCTTATAATAATAAAAAACATGATAAATTTTATTTTTAAATTTCATATACTTAATCGAAATATAAAAGTTACAAGAGTTTAAAATAAAACATACTAAAATACTATACAGTATCAAAAAAACTGTGCTATGCCCAGCGCTTAATTAGTTATGCTTAACTCGGGCAGTTGGCAAAGTGTTAACATATGCAAATATATATATCGTTAAGTTTAAAAAAAAATGATAAAAAATGAAGATAACTGGCGCTCTGCCATTCAGCAGAACTTATTAACAAGACATAAAATCATAAAAATTTATAACAATTTGTTAATTTATTTTTGAATTTTTTTGAATTATTTACTTGCTTTGAGGTATACGAAGCATTAAATCAATTAGCCAAAAGAATAGAGGCTCAGAACTCAGGTTTAGCTGCTGTTGTCTAGCTTAGTTCTTGCAATAAATCCGATAGAAATATTAACTATTCCTAGAATGAAGACAAATCCGAATAAAACAGTTTGTTAATAAATATATTTAAACTACTTTATAATATATTTATAGACTAGTTTATAAATATATTTATATGCTAATTTCTCATACATCAGAATTTTAATTAAATGATATTATTATAAGTAATTTGATAATGGCATCAAAAAATATCTATATATGTGTATATATATACATGTATATAATAAAGATTATAAATTGTCGTTAATAGAAAGCTAATTATTCCTGACAAATAGAAAATCTCAAACAGATCAAATTAATAAAATAAAAAACACAAGAGATATATATAGGTATTAAAATATATAATATAATAAAACTTTTGAAAAGATCGACGGGATACCTGCAACATCTCACTACTTAATGCTTGCAATAGTACACATTTTTATAGAAAATATGCTACTTATCCTACTACTTTGTAAGGGAGTCTGTAAGATAAATCTTATGATGAGATACATATTTTATTAATAAATTTATGTATACACATATTAAAGAAAAAATATATACTATGTGTATGTGTGTATATATTAATCTGTATTAATTTTTTATTATATAAACGTTACATCACTAATCTTTTAATATGTTTTTATTGTATGTTTTTTTACAAAAAACATTTTTTCATTTAAAATGTAAAAGAAAATGTGATGAAACCATTTTACTTCCTATATCAAATAAAATATATTTTTTGCACGATTTCTTATATATGACTACACGCAAAAAATTGCAATATTCAAATAACACTAAAACCATCGTGTTTATTTCTTTTAAACAATTTTATATTTAATAATAAGCACTATTTATCTTGAGTTTCAAAAAGTAATGTTTAAATAAAATAAAATTGTCTGAATGTGAATCAGAACATTTTAGATTAGATAATATTTATGAGATCCAAATCACGTTTTTTTGTTATATAAATTGAGGAATTATAAAGATGTGATATTAGAATTCAAAAGTTTGGATTAGATCTTCGTAAGTTTGCAGCGATGTATACCAAAATATATCTATTTCTATTAGTTACCGTTTTTACGGTTATATTGATTTCCGATGTTATGGCTCATCCATCAGCTGAAACAAACCCTGCTTTGCTCTCACGATCTAAGGTATAAAACTATTGTTTAATATACAATTTTGGTTTTTATACTTGTTAATATTTATATTTGTACATGTAATTATTAATGTAATTAATATATATAATTTGTTTTTACAAATAACTATTACCCTTCTATGTATGTTTATTATGAAATAAATAGTATTACATATTATTTGATATTTTTGTTAAAAATTATATATACGCGATAACTAAGTTTTGTGTATATAAAATAATTCTTAGAAACAGTATTAAATGCCATCAGTAAGTTTTTTTATTTTCTTACGAGTAAAAGAATTCTTACGGAAAAAGAAATTATTTTATACTTATTGTTAATGTATCAATAATAAAGAATATATTATATAACCGCAATATCTCGTATATATTTTAATAAATACATATAAATAAACAAAGTAAAAAATTAAAGTTTATTTATTTTCTTGTTTTTCAGAGGGATCTAATTGGAAATATAATAAAAGAATTTGAAGATCTAATAGAAGATATAAAAGAAAAATATGAAGATCTAATAGAAGATATACGTGAAATACTGAAAAAAATCTTTTGTCTTACGCATCCGATATGGGATTTCATCAGTTTCATGGAATCATTATTTGATTTCTAAAATTAAAATGCGCTTAAAATAAGTTACGGCATGAAAAGATTATGCATAAGTGATTAGGACCTAATATATTTGACAAAATTTTCAATTATTGCTAATATTTTATGGTAATATTATATATAACATATGAATTATATATAACGTATGAAAAATTTCATGAAGTAATATTTTTGCTATCAAATTTATGTAAAATATAATATGTAATTATGTTATTTTATTATTATATATCAAAATATATCTTGTATTAATAAATTTCTATGCTATGCAAATATGTTTTGTGATTGATATTAATCCTTTTCTTCAAATAATCGCAAAATTTTATTTAGAATATTTTTTATTATACTAATTATTATTTCTATGCATCAGAGGGTAAAATAGAAATTAAAATAGCAATATTAAATTTCATTTTTATCTTGCAGAAAAGATATTAATCTTATTTATATTATAAACAAAGTTTAACTTAAATTTTAATCTCAAAGATGTTTTACAATAAAACATAATAAACTGTGTGTATGTATACGATTATGCATAAAATCAAATTTTTTAAGGTTTACCAGTAAAAATTGACGTCACAGAACAGAATATTGAACAAATAATCGTTAGCACTCATCTTCCGTTATCGGACAAACCATTATGGGCAATCTGCGGAAACGATCGCAGATAGTTTTTTTGTGCAGATTGCAATTGAGTGAAAGTAGCGAAGCAATATACACGAGCAATCTCGTTAGTAAGCTAAAGATCGTATCTTGTCCATTCTGAATTCGATCACAACGTTATTTCAACATTTTGTACGTAATTATGTGTGTCGTACTATCGAACACGTCAGACATTTAATTTCTTGCAAAAGTGTTTGCCAAATACTAATAAAATGGTTACTTTGATATGACATTACGTTCCGACTCTGTAAAAGATAGATTAACTTGTAAGTTGAAGAGAAAGATAGAGAAATTATAACCCATTTACATATTTCGCACAAGTGAGTTATAACATTAATTACGATAATTTTGTCTCGTAATAACAGATTTATTTAAAGATTTTATA